TTTACGATTCGTCTATGCTACTATTTGATGTATCTTTAGGGTTAAATACATGTTTTCGATGTCAACAATGATGGAACGAAATCTAAGAAATGTGGTAGTAGATGAGTAGGGGCGGAACCAAAAATTTTATTCAGGGTGGACACTTTAATTACACACATTAATATTTTTTCTCCTAATCAATCACATTATATAATATATTTATATTTATATTTATTATATTATATTTAATACATGAAGTTTATTTAACATAAAAAATACCAAAATATATATATATTGTTAGGAGCGGAGCTATTAATGTCTATGAGGGGGCAAAATATAATTGGTATAAAAAAATATTTAGTTGAAATTGATACAAAAAAATTCAGTTCAAGAATAACAAAAAGTAAGAATAAATATAAAATTATTGTGAAATAGTAAATTCAATTTTTATTTAGCCACAACATAATCCTAACAAAAAGACACATAATAATTTTTTTAGTACATTTTAACCTAATTATATCTTTATAATAAGATAGCTCACAAGTTGAATTTTATCCTCTATATATTTTTCTCCCCAAAAATATTACATCACTCATTTTTATCGCATACTCAATTATTTTAATATTTAATTAATTTATAATTTAATATAATTTTTATTTCAAATATTATTCCTACACGATACTGTACATATCTTAACAATTTTTTATCGAATTACGTATTTTGTATATAAATTAAATATAAATTAATTTTTTTACTAATTTTCTATCCATGCGCACAATTACAAGTCCGTAGTTAAACTACTCTTTCTTTAGTTGCAAGATTTGGTTGAGATTATTATCATCTTATAGAAAAATTCTCTATTCAAAATAGTTTGAAATATTTTTAGGTTACGACATTTTATCTTTTGTATATAACCATATTTTATTAGGTTGTAGACTAATATTACTTAAAAAGGAGTAAATGAAAACTAAATACTGTTTTTAAAAATTAACAAACATTGTGATCAGGGGCGAAACCAAGAATTTTGCTCAGAGTGGACACTTTAATTACAAACATTAATATTTTTTCTCCTAACCAGTCACATTATATAATATATTTATAATATTTATATTTATATTTATTATATTATATTTAATACATGAAGTCCATTTAACATAAAAAATACCAAAAAAATGTATATTGTCAGGGGCGGAGCCATTAATGTCTATGAGGGGAGCAAAATATAATTGGTATAAAAAAATATTTAGCCGAAATTGATACAAAAAAATTTAGTTCAAGAATTACTAAAAAGTAAGAATTAAGATAAAATTATTGTGAAATAGTAAATTCAATTTTTATTTAGTCAAAACAAAATCCTAACAAACAGACACAAAATAATTTTTTAAGTACATTTTAACCTAATTATATCTATATAATAAGATAACTCACAAATTGAATTTTATCCTCTATATATTTTTCTCCCCAAAAATATTATGTCACTCATTTCTATCACATACTCAATTATTTTAATATATTGATTTATTTATAATTTAATATAATTTTTATTTCAAATATTATTCCTACATGATAGTGTACGTATGTTAACAATTTTTTATCGAATTACGTATTTTTTATATAAATTAAATATAAATTAATTTTTCACAAATTTTCTATCAATGAGCACAATCACAAATCTATAGTAAAATTATTCTTTATTTAGTTGCAAAATTTGGTTGAAATTATTATCATTTTATAGAGAAATTCCCTATTTGAAATAGTTTGAAATATTTTTAGGTTACAACCTTTTGTCTTTTATATATAACCATATTTTATTAGGTTATAAACTACTATTATTTAAAAAATAGTAAATGAAAACTAAAATCTGTTCTTAAAAATTAACAAACATTGTGATAGATAAATAAAAACATTGTATATTCGTCAATATACAAATAGATCATTTACTCAATCTAAAACTAACATTTATTTTAGAAGGTTAGTAGTCCACTAATTTATTGAAAAAAAAAAGACTAGAACCATTTTCAAAAAATTAGGGGGAGCAAATATACTAGATATTAGATCAGATAGGTTTTAGTCAAGTGGACCAAAAGCTTTGTTTTTCAATGATGGGTGGGCAAAAAGTTTTGTTTTTAATGTTGGCCAAAATTTTTATTTTTTTAATAGGTTTCGGTGGATTGTAATAGATCAAAATTTTGATTTTTTAATAAGTTTTGGTAGATAATTGTGGACTCAAGATTTTTTATTTTAAATGGGTTTAATTTTTTAATTCTTTTGGGTAAATAATATGGGTCTAATATTTTTATCTTGAGTTTTGGGTGGGCACAAATAATATATTATACAAATATATAATATATATAACTAACTAATAAAAAAAAAAAAAATTTGAAGGGGGCACTTGCCCACCGTCCCCCATGCCGCCCATGTAGATGAGTATTACAAAATCAATATCCATAATTGGACATAAAATACAAATATAAAAAAAAACATGATAGTTGAAAGCAATGCCCAAATAAATAAAAAAATAAAAAATAAACAAAGAAAAATAAAAATAAAAAATAAAAAAAAGGTGGACATTGATTTTTGTTGTGTTTCTTGTTTCGAACGAAATTTTTATTTTTATTTACCACAAAATAAAATAAAAATTTCTGTGTTTATTCCTGGACAGTATCTCTAAAAATACATATTGAAAGTCTTTAGTATAGTTTTAGGTCACTTTGATGATAAAAAGATGTGTTCCTTATATCACACGCCATTTCATTGAAAAAAAAGTAGAAATATATGCTCTTTCTTCTTCACTTTCATGCCTTTATTCATTGATTCTCCGTTTTAGTTCCGACCATTATCAGATAAGAATTGAATATATAAGCACTCAGGTCATTTTATCGTCTACCCCTTGTAATTAAATCTAAACTTTAATGATACTCTTTCTCGATTCTAAAATTTCATTTTCACTCCTTGTCGATGTTTGTCAGATTACGACGTTAACGACAATAATTGATTTACAAAAATACCCTTGATTATTTTATTAGATAAATTTTATCCACACCCCTTGTAAATAAACTTAACTTTAATAATATCCCTGTAAATAGACTTGACTTAAACAACACATCCTTTCGATTTTGAAATTTTAATGCACTATCTTTTAGTTCTATTATATTAGTGTTTAGGTACATCAATTTAATATTTAATTTTATCAAGTTAATGTCTTTTATTTAATTTAAACTAAATTAACATTTTATCTCATCAAATTAACATAAAATTGATAATTAATTTTATCAAATTAGTATTTAGTTATATCAATTTAATTTTTTATTTCGTCAAATTAATACTATTTCTTTAATCTAACATTAAATTAATATTTAATTTCATCAAATCAACAATAAATTGATATTCAATTTTATTAAATTAAAATTTAATATATTAGATAAAATATTAAAGCCTGAGGATTATTTACACAACTAAATAGGGTTAATTATAAAATGTCTTGTTCAAGTTTTGGTCACATTCAAACAACTCCCTCTAGTTTTAGTTTGTAACAATTTATTCCCTCAAAGTTTAAATATTTACAAATTAAGTCAAGCCGGTAATTTTGACAGTGAAAAATGACAAAAAAACATTTATTTGCAAATCACGTGATCTCAAATTCTATGAAGAGACAAGATCATCATTTTATCTTGAGAATAAGAATGGATAGTTTTTTACCTAAAAAATTGAATTTAGTGTAATTTTATCTTTTCAATAAATATGAGATCATATGACTTAATTTTTATTATTTTTCATTGTCGAAACAAATAATTTGAGTTAATTGAAAAATGTACAACCTTTTAAGAATAATTTGTTAATTGCACTAAAGGTCCCTAAAGTATGAGAGTTGTATCATTTTGGTTTTTAATATTTCAATTGCATCATCTTAGTCCATAAAGTATTGAATATATTTCTATTGAATCCCTTAAACATACAACATTCAGATTGCTAACGATTTTTTATCATAAAATTGTCACGTAATACCTAAATATAAATAAAAATAATAAAAATTTAAATAACTCTTAACCAAATTTGTACTCAAATTTTGATCAAAGAATTATCCAAATTACACAATTTTGATTATAAATTATCCAAATTTTGGTCAAGAACTATCCATATTATACATTTTTTGTCAAGAGCTACCCAAATTTTAGTCAAGAATTACTTAAATTATTTTTTATTCATATTTAAGTATCACGTGACAAGTTTATAATCAAAATCGTTAGCAATTTAGATGTTGTCTGTTTGAGGGATTACATATAAACATAAAAAAAATAGATTCTTTACACACAACCAATCAAAATTGAAGAGCTACACAAATTTATTGGAAATCTTCAACATTGATTTATGTGTTTGTGTAGCTCTTCAATTTTGATTGACTGTCTGTAAATAATTATTTAGTAATCAAAATGATACAATTAAAATATTAAAAATTAAAATAAAATAAATTTTATACTTTAAAAGGACGTACAATATAATTAACCCTTCTTAAAAATCAAACAGGAAGTGGATTGCAACTTGATCTAAACTTAATCCTGAAGGGAATATTTTATAATTAATCTACATTAAATAATATAGAACTAATTGTAAGTTCCAATCTTGTGATCGAAAAAAAAAAATAAGGGAGAGAGAGAGAGAGAAAAAAAAGAAGACCATCCACTTGCCCACTCAGAGTACGTGGAACTTGGTTCTCTTATGGTGTGTTGGTCAAACGTTACAAAGAACGAACATTCATAGTTGAGCCACAAACGAAAAGGAAGTAGAGAACAGTTAGTTAGGTAGGGAATCAGATCAGAATTTTTAGTGGATTTTATGCAATTCTTCCACTTTCCTTCCATCTTTCTCTTTATTCTCCTGCTTTGAGCTACTTTCGTCCGACTCCTTCCAACGACAATGCCCAACTTTTGCATTACAGGTGATTCTCTTCTCTCTTATTATAAACATCTAATCAGGAAGAATAAAAAATTATATTTTTCCCACCTCCCCTTCTTTTTTTTTTTCTTCTCCTCCCCCAATCAATCCATCCAAACGAACTGTACGCATTTGACCCAAAATCCGTATCTACTTTCCTACACATCCATATATATTGTATGTATGTATGTATGTATGTATCTATCTATCTATCTATATTAGCATATTCATACCTGCTTGGCGTGTGTACTAGTTGTTTTTTAGATATTGATTTGCTGAGATTGATTGTTTTGGAATGTGAAGTGATGTTAGATTTTTTTTATGGAGGAGTTGATCTTGATTTGGGTATGTGGTTTTGTATCACATAGATAATCTAAGCTGGTTTGGGGATGATGGAAGAACCCGGGAAGCTGAAACGAGCATTGATAGATGCTACGGCAGGGGCGATCTCCGGCGGTGTGTCTCGTACAGTAACGTCTCCATTAGATGTCATTAAGATCAGATTCCAGGTCAATTTTTGCTTCCTTTTGTTACTCAAATGTAGTCACTACTCTCACTTTTCAGTTCTTGCCCAAATCAAACATATATGCCCCTTGTTGAGATTGTAGGGCAAAGCCAGAAACACAAAACTTTGGCCCCACCAATCCATAAAGTGTTAAGATAGCCTACAATGAGAAAAATCAATATTTCAATCTGGGGCAGCTTCATAATTCTTCAAAATTCGACAAAGGTTAAAAGGTCAAAATGCAATTTCTAGAACTTAAAAGCGTCATGGTCCCCTTAGTCCTAATGTGGCTTCACATTTGGTTGAGATCTTGATATACATTGTCAATCCCGTTTTCTAGCATCTTAAGCTTTTTGAGTAAGTGATAGTCTTACATAGGATCAGAGGTTTGGTTGGTTTAGGGATTAGGCATTGCATTCAAGTCCCACTATTTGCATATGTTCTCCCATAGTCATTGTGCATGGTGCTGCACCTAGGTTCAGCATTATGCGTGCATATTGAGGTGCATTGTCATATTTATTCTCCATGTGTATGCAGGGGTTCCATATGAGTCGGTGTTAATACTTAATAGTTTAACATTCATTATTAGCTTCATTCTCTAATAGTTTTAAGCGTTTGAAGCAATTAGTAGTCCAACAAACTTCATTTATCTTGTTTATATTTTGAAGCTCTTAGATTTGGTCGTGCATTGATGAAACATTAACCCAACACCGAAGCTATGTTCTATTCTATTTCATCTGCTCAGTCGTGTTTTGAGCACACATCAAGTGTCTCTTATTTGAAAGTAAAAAAAAAAAATTGAAATTAAGTTTTGCAATGCCTACATGTTGTAAATATATTGTACCCACAGGAATTGTAAGTAATGCCAATAAAATTGTCATGGTTTCTCAGTCTTCTATCTTGTGGTTTAGGGTAATTTCTAGGATATTTTATGGCCTTCTCGCGAATTTTAGAATTTTGGATTAAATACTTCGGCTTCATTATTTATGTAAGCACTTTTACTATGGTAAAGGCCTTTGGATTGTGAATGTTATTTAAGGAAATGCCAAAATGGTGGTTGTCTGATATCTTCATACTTTCACAGCACACATGCGTATCTCAGCACACCCATTTACATTCCTTCTTAACACCAAGATCCCAGAATAGAAACATTGAATTGATTTAAAATTTCACCCTCAAAAGTTTACCTAAAGGTTTGCTCAAATTGCTAATTCCCAGGGATTACTATCTCAAGTTGAGTGTACTGACTAGTCCAATTTGTGTGGCTTAGAAGTGTTGCATACATCCAACATATGTATCATAATCACGAATCCAAGGGCGAATGGCCGGGACTATCCTTTGTTAGCCAACCAAAAAAAAAATGAGTCCAAAAGATCTAAGTGTATTAGTATTACTATCAAATATTGAATATTTGGCTTTTTTTGGAATGACCAAACATGGGATTCTACTGTTACCAACCTCATTACTCTATTTGATTATCATCTGTGTGTGTGTGTGTGGGTCGATTTTTGGAGGCTGTGGTTAATGAGTGAGCACACATCATGTTCTTGCATGCTACATGGTAGACCCAAAAAATCTGATACTGGTGCCTAATGACAGGTTCAGCTGGAACCCACTTCATCATGGGCCTTGCTACACAAAGATGTATATGTAAGATCGAAATATACTGGGATGTTGCAAGCAACCAAAGACATCTTTAGAGAGGAAGGTTTCCGGGTAATGATCAATTTATATGTAGTGCAACAAGAATGTTTTCTGTTCAGTAAGTGTTATGCTGGTTACTATTTTAGTTACTAATTAACTAAACAGATGACATAATGTCTCGGCAATTTTTTACTTTATTGCTCTGCCAGGGTTTCTGGCGTGGTAATGTCCCAGCTCTTCTTATGGTTATGCCATATACTTCCATACAATTCACAGTGTTGCATAAATTGAAGACATTTGCATCTGGTTCTTCCAAGAAAGGTTTGTTCTATATCCCACTTCAGATCTGCAAAATGCAGAGGATGATTACCCAATTTGGGGTCAGTTAATCGAGAATGTGGAGAGGAATGGAATGGGTTTTGACATTATTTGCTAAACTGTTCTCAAATTCAGACCACAACCTCACGGTTGTTAATGCAATGCTTGAGAAAGATGTTTGGTGTTCATGGGTATTGCCTTTGTGCATTGAAGGTTGAGGGTGCCATATTTGATGGTTAAGACTAATGTTTAATGCATCGAAGAAATTCTGTATTAACTTTTCCCTAAATGAATTTTAGTGGGAGCGGAGCATTTTTGGCCATATCACTGATCTATAGTGGTTGAGCCACATTGGGGCCTTTGGGCCATCTCTCTCCAGCTTTTTAAATTGCAATCTCATCTGCTTATTTTCATATGAACATCCAGAAGTTTTGTACTGCTCTCTATATGAGATTCGTACTGAACTTTTAGCACACAGCATAATACTTTATATATTACTCAATGCAAGGAAAATGCAACTGCATTGAGGATAATTTGGTTTCTCACATGTTATGGCCTGCTGATTGTTTTCCTGTGATGCAGAACATCACATTCGTATAAGTCCTTACCTGTCTTATATCAGCGGAGGATTAGCCGGAGCTGCAGCTACTGTTGGATCATATCCATTTGATCTTCTAAGAACCATTTTGGCTTCCCAGGGTGAGCCAAAGGTATTGGGTTTAAGACATGCAATCAACTATCAGTTTATCATTGTATTTTTGTTTCCGAGAAAAAGCTGACACAAATAGATAAGTAGCTCTAAATTGAAGACCCCAATCACTTTAGATACTTGAGCACTTCTGCTCGTACGTATTTTGAACCCTTATTATTTTGGACTCTCAATTCTTTGCCATTAAAATCTGAACTGCAGTAGTAATATTACGACCAAAAGCCAATCCTCATGCTTATAAATGATGATTTTATAATTAGCGAAGATGGTGTACCTATATTCAGGTGTATTTGAACATGAGGTCTGCATTAGTCGATGTAATCAGAACTCGTGGCTTTCAAGGGTTGTATGCTGGATTGTCAACTACTTTGGTTGAGATTGTTCCTTATGCTGGGATGCAGTTTGGAACCTATGATACATTCAAGCGCTGGACCATGGTAGGTTTCAGTCTATAGATTTTAAGTCTACTCTACAATCTATATGTGTGAATTTTTAGGACTTCTACCATGTATACTTTCTTCACTTTTGACAAGATGGGTTTTGTTTCCGAGTAAGAAAATAGAATTTTTGGGTGGGTACCACACTGATAAACTGAGATGGCTGTGTAGTCTTCGTGAACTCTCTATCTGATAGATCAGGTTGCTTGGATGAAATTAAGATTGATCTAAAGAGAGGTCACCAGAGACTGATCGCCCTTCAAGGTTTAAAAATTTCCCTAGGATTATACAGTACTTGCTAAGTGACTCGTACAATCATAAAGGTTTCATCCCCCCAAACCATTTTTCACTTCCACAATTACCCCAAATGCTTATCCAAAGGATTTACCTACTCTAAACCGAATTTATGGACCCTTCTTGATGTCATGCTGCAATGGAACTTTATTGTTGTTGGTGCCAGTTACCTGCAACCAAGGCTTCTAATTTTGTATTTATGCATCATTTGTACACGTTAGGGATCGTCCCATGTACGAATATGTCCAATATAGCTGCTTGATGCTTCTGCTGTTTGGAAATATGGATCCCTGAAGTCTGTACTGATGCATTCGACTGCTTCTAGTAGGGATCTTCAAGCGATCCTTGGGATTAGTCCTGACTCGCAAAGACTCAGGAAAAATAGGAATCATGGACACCTTGTCTATGTATGCATGGTATATCAACCAAATGTGCAAACTGCTTTTTCTTCCCTGTTTTTTTTTCTTTTGCAAAGTTTATTATTTAGAGTTTTGTTTCAGGCTGATGGGTTTGCTGTGTCTTTTAAAGGACTGGAACCGGTTCAGATCTTCTGATGAAAACCCCTCGGCTGATGTCCTTCCGAGCTTCCAGCTCTTTCTCTGCGGCTTAGCATCTGGCACATGTGCCAAAGCTGTATGTCACCCCCTTGATGTGGTCAAGAAGAGGTTCCAGGTTGGTTCCCTGAGCCCAGCCTTCTTAAACTAAGTGATATCTGTACTTGCACTTTATATATCGACAAGTATATGAAGATTTTTCTTATTGTCTATTTTGTTGGGTTAGGGAGGAGATTCAAACATCGAAATGGTGAATTAGTTATCACCAAGCATCAAGTTTTCAGCAGTTGGTACAAAATGCTTTTTTTCCTTTGACTAAACACGCATCAAGGCCAAAGCGGAAAGGGAAAATTTCATTTATACCCCCTATAATTAGGTTTGAATTCAATAACACTTTCTCCCAATTCTGAAACTTCAATGTCACCCCCTATCAGTGTTTGTCGAATTACGGCATTAACGGCAATTGATAATTTAAAGAAATATCCCAAAATATTTTATTAGGTAAATTTTATCCACACCCTTTGTAAAATATACATAACTTTAACGACACCCCTTATAAGTACATTTATCTTTAACAATATCTCCTCCTAATTCTGAAATTTCAATGCACTCTGTTTTAGTTATATTATATTAACCTTAAGTTCATCAATTTAATATTTAAATTTATTAAATTAATATCATCAATTTAATATTTAAATTTCAATGCGCTCTTCTATGTCTCTGTCTCTACCAACCGTCGAAGAAAACATTAATACTACAATAATACATCACAACATATTGACATGATAAAATGGAAGAAAAAAAATTTAAAAAAAATGTGCATGAACAAAATTAAAAAAAAAATGCATGAAAAAAAATTAAAAATCTACATGAAAAAAATTAAAAATATCTACATGAAAAATTTTTTTAAAAAATTGTACGAAATTTTTTTTAAAAATCTATATGAAAAACATTTANACCGATCATGCAGCCTACGAAAAACAGAGACTGAACCAACCCAACTTTATATCTCTCACCACAGACCAAGCCCCACTCAGCCACCGTCGAGCTTCCCTTACCATGGATCCACTCCCATGAGCCAGGCCTAAGGTCACAGACACTATGGGCGTCGGGCGAGCAACCCCGCCCAGAGCCACCGTCCAAGCACCGCCAGCCCGGTTGGCGGTCGGCGAAGATCATGACGGTGGTGTGAATGGACTCGAGAGCCCAAGCCAAGCATGTCAACAAGAAGTGCCTCAATTGCCAGGACCCGAACTCGCCGCAATACTTCTGTAACATGTCATCCACACCCAGTTTCTCGATTTCCGGTGATTCGGCCGGAGGTTCGAGTTCTTGGTCGCCATGGACTGAAAACGAATTGGGTAAAATATCAACCATGGGTTGTTTTTGGGTGTTTGTAGTTTTGTTTTGGAGAGATGGTAATGTCACATGAATTTAACAAAGGAAGAATCCCTATTTTGATGTCTCAACTACTCGCAAGGTAAGTATATAGTTATTCAAGTCTCAAGCAATGGATCACGCTTTTTTTGTTTTCATTTTTCTTTATGGTTATAGAATAAATTCGCTAGTGTCAACTAAATTGATTTGCGAAAGGGTAATTCTTGTTGAATCTAATCTGTTTCATCTAATTTATTGATTTAATCATTCATTATTATTGAATTTACGGTATTTCTTTTTGAAACCCGTTATCGATCCAACAGTTATGATGAATTATATCAACAAAATATATTTGTATATTAAATCTAAATAATATTATTATTTAAAAAAAATTCTCTGCAATCTAAAGTAATCTGAACTGGTTGAAAAGTCTTTTACATCTCCTATATGGACAACATAGAAAGTCTCCACTTCCCCAAAAAAACATAGAAAGTCTCAAAAAAAAAAAGACAGACAGAATGCTTCTGAAAATGATAGCAATATCTATTTTCATATCAGAACAAACCTGTCGAATATTTACGTAAAAGGAATTCAATATGCAAAACTGTGTAGGTATATGATTCCAAACTTTTAGTTTATTTATTTTTTAGCAAAAATGTTCGTGCATGTACTAAAATAAATGTTTTTTTAAAAAATTTTAATAGTTAGGGGTGTCTGGATCAACTTACGTGCACTTCGATTAATTTTTTCCTCGATCCGCTTAAATATAGGTCATCCACGTTAGAATTAGGATATTCATGAAGGATAAATCTCTCATAATCTAGTACTAAGGGTCTGTTTGGTTAGGAGTAAAAAAATTATAGAAAGTGAAATGAAAGAAATAAAAATGATATAAAATATATTTTCATGAATGCATTTGGTTAGGATAAAAAATTTGCTAGAAAATTTTTTTAAAAAATCACTCTATTGTTTGAAAGAAAGGGAAGTTTCAAGAATTTTTTTTTAATTTTCTAAATTACCCTCAATTATATTAAATCGGTCTAAAGAAAAAAATATATATATTATAATTAAAAAATTAAAAAAAAAAGTGACCCGTAACCAAATCTCAGGACAAGCACCAATATGAAAGTCTTAAAGCCAAATTATATAGTTGATCAAATCCATCCCAATATTTTTTTTAAATTAATAACTAATAAAATATTTTAAGAAAAATAAGAGTAAAATGAGAAGTTAATTATAGATCACAACTTTCTTGCATTTCCTTATGTTTTTTACAAGAAAAAAAAGTTTGTTAGTTGAGAGAAAATTCAAGTATGAAAAAAAATTATTTTTTCATCATTTTCTATTTCATACTAACCAAATACATAAAAAATTTAAAAATATTCTCTTTTTGTCATTTTTTACCATTCTCTTACTAAACAAATGAATTTTAAGGGGTTGACATGATTCGAATTTAAGACGTGTGAGTTTACGATTCGTCTATGCTACTATTTGATGTATCTTTAGGGTTAAATACATGTTTTCGATGTCAACAATGATGGAACGAAATCTAAGAAATGTGGTAGTAGATGAGTAGGGGCGGAACCAAAAATTTTATTCAGGGTGGACACTTTAATTACACACATTAATATTTTTTCTCCTAACCAATCACATTATATAATATATTTATATTTATATTTATTATATTATATTTAATACATGAAGTTTATTTAACATAAAAAATACCAAAAAATATATATATTGTTAGGAGCGGAGCTATTAATGTCTATGAGGGGGCAAAATATAATTGGTATAAAAAAATATTTAGTTGAAATTGATACAAAAAAATTCAGTTCAAGAATAACAAAAAGTAAGAATAAATATAAAATTATTGTGAAATAGTAAATTCAATTTTTATTTAGCCACAACATAATCCTAACAAAAAGACACATAATAATTTTTTTAGTACATTTTAACCTAATTATATCTTTATAATAAGATAGCTCACAAGTTGAATTTTATCCTCTATATATTTTTCTCCCCAAAAATATTACATCACTCATTTTTATCGCATACTCAATTATTTTAATATTTAATTAATTTATAATTTAATATAATTTTTATTTCAAATATTATTCCTACACGATACTGTACATATCTTAACAATTTTTTATCGAATTACGTATTTTGTATATAAATTAAATATAAATTAATTTTTTTACTAATTTTCTATCCATGTGCACAATTACAAGTCCGTAGTAAAACTACTCTTTCTTTAGTTGCAAGATTTGGTTGAGATTATTATCATCTTATAGAAAAATTCTCTATTCAAAATAGTTTGAAATATTTTTAGGTTACGACATTTTATCTTTTGTATATAACCATATTTTATTAGGTTGTAGACTAATATTACTTAAAAAAAAGTAAATGAAAACTAAATACTGTTTTTAAAAATTAACAAACATTGTGATTAGGGGCGAAACCAAAGAATTTTGCTCAGAGTGGACACTTTAATTACAAACATTAATATTTTTTTTCCTAACCAGTCACATTATATAATATATTTATATTTATATTTATTATATTATATTTAATACATGAAGTCCATTAAACATAAAAAATACCAAAAAAAATGTATATTGTCAGGGGCGGAGCCATTAATGTCTATGAGGGGAGCAAAATATAATTGGTATAAAAAAATATTTAGCCGAAATTGATACAAAAAATTTAGTTCAAGAATGACTAAAAAGTAAGAATTAATATAAAATTATTGTGAAATAGTAAATTCAATTTTTATTTAGCCAAAACAAAATCCTAACAAACAAACACAAAATAATTTTTTAAGTACATTTTAACCTAATTATATCTATATAATAAGATAACTCACAAATTGAATTTTATCCTCTATATATTTTTCTCCCCAAAAATATTATGTCACTCATTTCTATCACATACTCAATTATTTTAATATATTGATTTATTTATAATTTAATATAATTTTTATTTCAAATATTATTCCTACATGATAGTGTACGTATGTTAACAATTTTTTATCGAATTACGTATTTTTTATATAAATTAAATATAAATTAATTTTTCACAAATTTTCTATCAATGAGCACAATCACAAATCTATAGTAAAATTATTCTTTATTTAGTTGCAAAATTTGGTTGAAATTATTATCATTTTATAGAGAAATTCCCTATTTGAAATAGTTTGAAATATTTTTAGGTTACAACCTTTTGTCTTTTATATATAACCATATTTTATTAGGTTATAAACTACTATTATTTAAAAAATAGTAAATGAAAACTAAAATCTGTTCTTAAAAATTAACAAACATTGTGATAGATAAATAAAAACATTGTATATTCGTCAATATACAAATAGATCATTTACTCAATCTAAAACTAACATTTATTTTAGAAGGTTAGTAGTCCACTAATTTATTGAAAAAAAAAAGACTAGAACCATTTTCAAAAAATTAGGGGGAGCAAATATACTAGATATTAGATCAGATAGGTTTTAGTCAAGTGGACCAAAAGCTTTGTTTTTCAATGATGGGTGGGCAAAAAGTTTTGTTTTTAATGTTGGCCAAAATTTTTATTTTTTTAATAGGTTTCGGTGGATTGTAATAGATCAAAATTTTGATTTTTTAATAAGTTTTGGTAGATAATTGTGGACTCAAGATTTTTTATTTTAAATGGGTTTAATTTTTTAATTCTTTTGGGTAAATAATATGGGTCTAATATTTTTATCTTGAGTTTTGGGTGGGCACAAATAATATATTATACAAATATATAATATATATAACTAACTAATAAAAAAAAAAAAAATTTGAAGGGGGCACTTGCCCACCGTCCCCCATGCCGCCCATGTAGATGAGTATTACAAAATCAATATCCATAATTGGACATAAAATACAAATATAAAAAAAAACATGATAGTTGAAAGCAATGCCCAAATAAATAAAAAAATAAAAAATAAACAAAGAAAAATAAAAATAAAAAATAAAAAAAAGGTGGACATTGATTTTTGTTGTGTTTCTTGTTTCGAACGAAATTTTTATTTTTATTTACCACAAAATAAAATAAAAATTTCTGTGTTTATTCCTGGACAGTATCTCTAAAAATACATATTGAAAGTCTTTAGTATAGTTTTAGGTCACTTTGATGATAAAAAGATGTGTTCCTTATATCACACGCCATTTCATTGAAAAAAAAGTAGAAATATATGCTCTTTCTTCTTCACTTTCATGCCTTTATTCATTGATTCTCCGTTTTAGTTCCGACCATTATCAGATAAGAATTGAATATATAAGCACTCAGGTCATTTTATCGTCTACCCCTTGTAATTAAATCTAAACTTTAATGATACTCTTTCTCGATTCTAAAATTTCATTTTCACTCCTTGTCGATGTTTGTCAGATTACGACGTTAACGACAATAATTGATTTACAAAAATACCCTTGATTATTTTATTAGATAAATTTTATCCACACCCCTTGTAAATAAACTTAACTTTAATAATATCCCTGTAAATAGACTTGACTTAAACAACACATCCTTTCGATTTTGAAATTTTAATGCACTATCTTTTAGTTCTATTATATTAGTGTTTAGGTACATCAATTTAATATTTAATTTTATCAAGTTAATGTCTTTTATTTAATTTAAACTAAATTAACATTTTATCTCATCAAATTAACATAAAATTGATAATTAATTTTATCAAATTAGTATTTAGTTATATCAATTTAATTTTTTATTTCGTCAAATTAATACTATTTCTTTAATCTAACATTAAATTAATATTTAATTTCATCAAATCAACAATAAATTGATATTCAATTTTATTAAATTAAAATTTAATATATTAGATAAAATATTAAAGCCTGAGGATTATTTACACAACTAAATAGGGTTAATTATAAAATGTCTTGTTCAAGTTTTGGTCACATTCAAACAACTCCCTCTAGTTTTAGTTTGTAACAATTTATTCCCTCAAAGTTTAAATATTT